GGCTAACCAATGATGTATCTTGTTTGTAAAAGATCAGTTAATCTTGAGTTTTATCTTACAGGATGTCGCAGATATGAAATATTGAAGTGGTCTGGTCTAGAACTTTGCGTTCAGTCATTTTTAACAGATTTTCAAATGACTTCAGTCTATAATGAACATGATGTTCAAAATAACTTAATCTCTGATGATAATTAGTTTAAATATTTAGTTTGTTCTAACTACTTTGCGGTACTCTTGACGATAAAAATGATGAGTCCACTTTATGTTCATTTCTTTTCATTTCCGCTAAACTCTTCCTTTCTATATTGATATATATATATATATATATATATATATATATATATATATATATATATACATATAAACAAAAACCATTTAATGAAGAAAATGTTTCTTCGATGGTATCATGTGCTGAAGTTGAGTAGTTGTATTTATGGCGAATTACAAGATGCTGAAAAATAATAATGAATTACATCATGAAATACCTGGAAAAATCAAGTATTAAAAAGTATCGCACAAGAAACAACAAATCAATCATCACTTGTGGTCTTCTCAAATACCTTAGACCATCTGGATATGTTACACCAAAACCAAACAATCTCTCAAGATAAAATAAGAAGGATATCCTTTTGTATCCCATGAATAATTCCACCATAACGGCTGAAATGCTCAATAAACATAACACCTGTAATTTAGTTGAGTTTGCTATTTTGCAATTATTCGTCAGTATAACCTCAAAAGGAATGATGTCATTAGATGCCGTTTCACTCTTTAAGGTGAAATTTCGCTAGATAATTTGATTTACAACGATGTAAGCAACTAAGTAGCCTTTTCTCTAAAAGTAATACCATCATGGTTCTCATGGCTTAGATATGTAGACGATACATTTGTTGTTATAAAAAAGACTCATCTAAGATCTTTTTCAAAACGAATAAATACACTTTCATCGCACATCAAATTCACGAATGAAAATGTACATGGTGAGCTACCATTCTTGGATTGCTTAGTAAAAAGAAATCCAAATGGAAGTCTAAACCTATCCATTTACCGAAAACCGACACATTCAAATCGTTATATTGACTTCCATTCAGCACATCCTTTCAGCGCAAAGATCTCGCTAGCCTTAAATCTATTTAAAAGAGCTAACAAGATCATCACATCAGAGGAAGACAAACAAAAAGAACAAATGAATATAGTTAGCATCTTACAATTTAATAATTTTCCTATGAAGATTATTAGAAGCATATTAAAACAAAAGTTTATTACATTATAATAATGATTCGAATGAAATGCCATGGATTGGTACTGTAGTTCTACCATTCCGTCATGGCACAATAGAAGAAATCCAAAGAATCTTAAAACATCACAGAATCAAAGTGTATTACAAAACAACGGACACACTACGTAATACTTTAGTTCGCCTGAAAGACAAAATCCCTTTTATGTCCACACAGAACTGCGTCTACAAATTAGGTTGTATTGATTGTGATGCCTATTATATTGGAGAGTCATCCCGCGAAATCGTGACTAGAGCCAAAGAACATATTAGGTACACAATGAAACCTCCTAACAATCCTGTAGAATTGAACCAACTTCAAATTAAATCGGCAATAGCAGTTCATGCCATTTTCAAAATATTGCAAAAAGGCTTTTCCAACTACAAAGAAAGGAGGGTAGCTGAGGCGTCCCATATAATGCTTAATCCTACGTCTCTCAATAGAAAGGAAGGTCTTACTATACATCCTACTTGGACCATCTATCCTAGTCATTCAGTCTGATCGTATTTACAATTTCACACTATCATATTATAAATTTAAACTCTATCCTTTCTTACCATAAAGGACGAACAAGTTCTCATTCTTAAACAATGCACACATACATGCACACACACACACACACACAAATTTACATAGATATCACTTATGAATCACCTTGACAGAAATGACATGACATCTATTTGTTCAGACCCATTTTTGGTTGATCACATATTATTCTTATTGTCCCGTTGTACTATTTAAACTTGGATTAATTTTAATTTGGTTATTTATTCTCTGAAGAAGTGACTTACACTAAGTCACGAAACATCAGAAAATCCAATTTTTCTACTCATTGGGATATTACAAATATATTATTTATTTATTTATAACAATCAACCCAATGCTCAATTTATTCGAAATTATCAAATCAAACCTTGGTAATTAAATTATAAGTTGAAAAAAATGAGATTATCTTTTATTCACATGTAATTGTTATAAATAAACTAATTATGCATAGAAACCGTACCGTTAGTTGTCGAGTTTCACTTTAATTCGGAAATAATCCTTTTTTCCAAGAAGTTTTTTTTTATTAATTTGATAGATTTATTTTTATTGATTGATTATTGTTAGTTTCACAAGTCTTATTAATATATCTCACTACTATTTTTAGATTGTAACTTGACTGGTTAAAAGAATAAATGTGAATCAATACTTACATAACTTATAGGTTGATCACATAACTAATCAGTCGATAGTGATTAGTAGATTTACCTTTAAAATAATAATAATACTGGTCAATTATTATTAATTTAGTGTAATCAGTTTTTTTTATAGTTTATTTGCGCTATGTGGAGATTATCATATGGTCACTAATGACTAATTTTAAAAGGTAATTTGCGAATTCATAGTGAGAAGCTGTTAATCAGTGGAGTCTGTCAGATATAAGTCAGTTACTGAAGATAATGGAAGTTTGGTTGGGTATCAGCTCAGTGGTCTAAAGGTTAAGCACTCACTGTGAAATCTAAAGGTCCAACGACTCCTGGTGAAATTGTGGATGTGCAGTACTTTTGAAGAGTTTAGATAGTGGTTGGAGATAGTCGACAGGAAACCCTGGATCCGGGTTTCGTGCTACTCGGCACTCGTCATTAAGGTGTACCTGTAATCTTGAGGGAACTGGTGCTCCCTCCAACCACCATCTAATCTCAACATAATGCACGCAGTGTCGAGTCACCTAGATTGCTGACCACGTTGCAACCTGGTCGATAGCACTCGATCTGCACTAATAAGGACTTGACACATGACATTGATCACCACCCAGTGATATGCTGTAACAGGAAACGTTCATTTACAATATATACAAAAAGACTGTTTTACCTATATGTGATTAACCGATGGAAAATATTCAGAATCACGCTCCGCAGAACTCCATAAATAAAATTAATATGCCCAAGTAATTTTAAAATCCTCAGAGTAGAAAATAATTAATAATTGTAAAGAGGAAGAATGTACTTGAATGAATTTGAAGTAAATCCAATATTTCACCTGGCAATCTGGCTCACGTTTTCTCAATGAAATAACTGATATACCTCTCCAGTATAATTAGACCATATGATTGATTAACACTTCATTTATTAGGCAATGTTAACCTGAAGTAACCAAACTCATTAGCTTATATGTATATGTAGAGAAAACAATGAATTACAACGAATTAAAAGTATCCAGCTAATATTTTCCTTCTTGCTTTGTTTCAATAAAACAGTAGCTTGTCGAATATACTCAGTTGCTCATCAGTCAAGTAAATTTATTATTCCAGAAAAGAGGAATCAAAACTCATGAATGCAATACTATGTAACTCTCGTTATATGCTGAGGACAATATGTAAAAGAATTTTAGTATACAAGGGCAAAAACAAACAACTTGAATATAATTAGCCGTAACACCTACTACAACTACTCAAAGGGAATCACAAGGAGATCATGTTGCTAACTAGTATTTAGTAGCAATCTTCAGTCTTAGTTTATACGTTAAGATCTGCATTCGTGATGTGACTATTCTCTTAGCAATAACAAATGTCTGAGAAGTCAAGGGCTATGCCATTGATTAGAAAGTACTAAAGTTGATCAACACTGTCACGAGGTACCACACTAGTTCCCAATTTTAAGGGTTGGTTTTTATAACATTTCCAACCTGCGTATAAGTAGGAGTTATGTTTCCCAATAAGTCAGAAGGGATCATATGATCGACCAACTATTCGACCCTTTAAATGTTATATAAAGGAACGTAGACTGGTCATTGTGTTGTACCGGAGAACAGTGCACTTGACATATTTGAAACCCAACAAACAGTAGAATGGAATGTAACTGAAGTTCACGTGTCACGACAAATCTATTGAAGACATAATTTACACATTCATTGTTAAACTGGATTTTGTCCATTTAATGGAAATAAAGAACAAATATAGTAACATTAAAGCTGATTGGTGAGGAAACAATACTGGTTAGTGGATTTCGCTAATACAATAATGAGGACTGAAAGTCAAACTTGAAAGGGTGCAGGAATATTTCTACCAACCTTAATTATCGACATGTCCAGTCAGATTGATTTATTTTGGGACAGGGTAATCAGATAAATGTTAAACCCCTTTACGGATTGTTTAGAGAAGTGAGGAATCGAAATAAACCTTAGATAAAGTAAAAAAGATATTGAAATTGTCAACAAAACATATAATAAGCTAATTAGTTTTATATATACTCAAGTTTTCTTCATATGACATAGGTACTGAACTGAAATTTCAATAATACTTATCTGTATATCTATACGGAATAGTAACTGATAATGAGATAAAATAATGAAGCGAGAATTCGAATAACGGACGGAATAAACAATTAGACTGAACCAAAGGAAATATCGTTTCGCCATTTTATTTTTATTGATTGATAATTAATTGACAATTGCTACAATACAAGTAGAGAAGTATGAAAAACCCTCTTCTGAGTATTCACTTTATTTCTGCAAAAAGGTGGAGTGGGATGAGAAAGCAAGTAGTAGTCTTATCACGAAGCTAGTGAATACAAGAACAATAATAATAGTGATAAACAAAGTAAGATGGACGCATTTAATAGTCAGTGTGAAATTAATTGGGTAAGATAATGTAACAATCTTGGTAAAAAGAAATCTTGATAGAAAAGTTGGATTTCAGAAGAAACAGGGAAAAATTGTCAAACACAAATTAACACAGGGCTGGTTGGGTTCATCATACATACACAAGGAAAAAATATGCTACACAATGGGAAGAGACAGAAAAAAAGAGAAAATGATGAAACTATACAGCATCTCGCTGACACACTTCGATAACTATATATATTAGCTGGATTGTTTTTGAAGTGTTTGTGTGAAAATAGACAAATTTAATGAATATAATTTGCGGTTTTATATTTTTTCTTATAAAAATCGAAAGAATAATGAAGACTAGGAATTGGAAGAGCTTGAACCATTACTATTTCCTGTTAAGTTTGGAGGTGGATCTTCATATCGTGAAGTATCACGTCCGGATAAATCCTTTCGACAAACTGGACAAGTTCCATGCTAAAATGTTAGAAATTGAAAAGTACGAACTTTTTGTTATTGTTTTGCAACAAAAGTAATGTGATGAATAGGGGGGAAAATATTTTCTTTCCATTAGTCTCTAAATATATATATATATATATATATATATATATATATATATATATATGACATAATAAGTTTCACTCATGATTATAAAAATATCGAATGACTAAGAAGTTGGAAGGAACAAGGTAAAGCAACCATAATGATCAAAGTATTTACTTGTAGAAATTTGAAGCATGAAGTTCAATGGTCAACGGGTTACATAACACCTGATAAGAAAATTAGCAAAAATATCTTGATAACAAATTAGTTTAGTAATGGTTATGTAAGAATTAAAGAGACGAATGTCAAGATTACGTCTTAATAAAAAGTGGAATTTAGAACAACTGAGAAAAGTGAAGGGAATCCAAGTTTCTTTTCAACCTGCTTTGTTATGACTTTTGTCGACCGCCAAATTAGGGAGGATTGTGCAAACATTTTTTGAACACAAAAGTTAGAGAATAAAGTCAGTATGCAAAGTAAGAACCGTAAACCATGCGGTAAATATGATGGAATATGGTGAATAACACGAAGAGCTGTATTTGAATAAGCATGCTGCTGTCAACCAAGTGAGCGAAAATTGGATCTTGTTTTTCTTTTTACCCATGTCAGATAATGTTCAGCGATACAATGATGAATTTGCTGAATTTTGTTTTCTGTATAACTGGCTTCACAACCAGAAATGATACACACACATGGATGCAGCAAATTTAGACATTTCTTATTAGTGATTGTTTGATTATTGTTAAGTCTTCCTCAACTTTCGTGTTAATATATTACAGGCAACGTTTTGAACTGTGATTTTAACAAAGTAACATCTCCCACACCATTGTTACCTAGTTTAGGTGTGGACGAATTTGGGATAATATCCAAACTAAGAATGGCTACAGATGTTACTTAAATAATCTTTGACGGTATTAATAGGAACAAGTTACTACAGCACATTGAGTGAGGATACCTTTGTACTTAAATAATAAAAAATATCGAACAGAATGTATTGTTCAATCGATGATTCTATACGCAAACAACCATTCTTAAAATTTCATCTAATCTTGTTAGTAATGCATACAAAAATGAGATGCTATTAACTCGGTTCTTTTTCTACAACAAATGTAATTGAATGTTTTTAAAAATGTTAAGCAAATTGTCTTTTTTCAGTACCATGAAAGTACTTTGGCGACCTGCTCGAATATCTGGGCTACCTGTTTCTGACATCAACATATCTCAACAAGTTACCTATATTTTGTTTGTCTTAACACATCATTATGGCTCTTAATCGCATAACCTATTTAGACGCGTTTATGGGAAGTTTACAATCTTTCACCGTACAACTTACAAAAAAGTACAATCAGAGACATTGTGTTGGATGTCAGTACATATTGAAAAGAATGACCATTGTTCAGATTTCGATTCCTGAACTGCTAACATCATCTAACTGGTGATAACTCAATATTTATCGTTAGGATAGATGAAGAAATAAGGAAAAGAAACTTGTCGAAATACTTTGTGCTGAGAATTCTATATTGTATCAAAAATATAATATCGAATAAAGTGATTAATAATAGTTATTGTTATTTATATGGGGAACAGGAAAATTCTAGTTGATTGCTTAAGTTTTTGAGCGGTCTATTCTCCAGCTTTACAATAATAAAGGACGGAAAGAAGATCTATTATTGATCACACGACTGCATGATCTAACTGTCATTAGTACGTACTCATTGTTGGATTAGAAGTTGGCATTTATCATGAACCTGAGTATCAACTGTTTTATTACAAAAACAAAAATTACAGTATCTATACATCTCCTTATAAGTTCACTGAAAATAAAATCGAGTGTTTGTAGTGAAGGTGTATTAATCAATACAGATGATATATCCAATGATGTCATGAGGCTACTCTTGACTATCAAATTTATCTTGTTATAACGAGAAAATATTGAAGAGGTTGGAACTATCGGGTTATGATTATTATCTACAATTTGCTGTATAATCGGCAGATAAATTTATTGCTGCATTCCTATATTCCCCTCATTCTATGCCTTTAGTGGACCTATTAACTATTGCTAAACGTCCTACTATACCTTAGTTATTGCTGATTAACTTTACACTATCCGGTCCACCCGCTGCCATTTATGGTATGATTGTGTCTTAAGTATACTTTCTTATTTGGTGTGCTGTGACGTCAGTCATTTCAAGTATATATTGTAGTATGACTTTTGAGTTATCAACTGAACTAAGTACAACAGAGGATTAATCTGCATACATTGATTGGCTACCGGAATATGAAGGGTTTCGGGACCAGTAAGCGTTAAGGCCTTGATTGTAGTTCATTGGTCCGTGAGTATATTTGTGAAATAAACAATCACCCGTAACATGTATTCCTTTTCTTCTATCCACAACCGAATCCCGTAGTTTAAAAAGTTATTAGCAAAAAACTTCTATAAATACAGTCTCAACATTACAAGAGAACAAAAACAATTTTGTTAGATAAATGTATTCCATGAATTCATCATTTTATTGAGAAATAATGGTATGATTTGAGATGATTGGTTGTCTTTCCGTCACATTTTTACCTATAAGTAGTCATTATTTTTGGTAATTACTCGAATGCGCAACCTTGGTTGCGTATTTCGTAACCGAACAGTTTTAATTCCTTCATAATCGATTGAGTTATTTCCCCAGTCATGATCGATTATAATTCTAGGGTAGATTGAGCGGGTAAGTTATCAGTTCAATCATATTGGTCATTTCACTGATCTTATCAGACCGCTGATTAAGGTTCAGGGTATTAACTGAGGTGCAGTAGGAATTTTTCAACTTAAATGGTTGAGGTATCTGCAAGCAAGTACAATGGACATAAAGAATTGCTTTCGTTATTGTCACAGAATTTAGGACATTAGATCCAAGTTGTCACATTTCGAATTAATACAGTAAGTTGAGAAAAGTGAAAGTGAAGTGGCAATCAACTATCGTTATTTCTCAATAGACAAGTCAGTATTTTGTATTCACGTATTTTTATAAATACAATTCGGAGAAAAAATATATAAAAAGTGATAATTTAGATGTAGATACGATTCAATGTCAAAATGAATAATGAACGTAAATGCCAAGATAGATAAGGCTGCCCCGTCAAAACTGTATATGTAACCAACACAGAAAACGAAATTCAGATTGACTTTATTCGACATTAATCCTATAAAATAAATCTTGGCAGCATATTCATGTAGTTGAACATATTATGTGAAGGAAAACAAGGCTTTCACTGAACTATTCTGATAGCAGAGAACAAATTTGAACCAATAATCTAAAGACTCTAAATTCAATAATAAATAGCCAGGTAGGTGTTCAATCGCTTTAGTTTCAGTGAAGATTCATGAGTAGCGTTACACAAGAACGTACTTGGAAGGTCAACTTAGTTAAAGTAAAAAGCAGTATGATTTACATGGGATCAATTAAAGTCACAATAAAGGCTATAATTAAATTGATTAGATTACAAATTATATGTTTAGCTTGACATGAAAGTGAGAATTAGCAAACACATGTATATTTACACACCAGACCATAGACTATACGAGTAAGACGTCAAAGGTCTCACTCTGTTGTTCACTATTTGTTAGGTAGACAACAAAGTTCAAACCTGTGACCAGAGTCGATTCAACCGAGTTCAGCATATTCAAAATAGATCAAAAATTAGGTTTTTCTTTTACTGTTACAAAAAAAATAAAGTATATACAGAATACTAACCTGTTTTAACCATGTTGTAACACAAGTTTGATGGTAGGTGTGAGCACATGGTAGTCTGATTACTGATTCGGATTCTTTGAAATCATCAAAGCATATTGAACAAATACCCAACTTTAATGCTTGTTCTTCAGTCAAAACATTTGTAGGTAAGTCTGCAATGGCTGATTCTGGGGCAGGTGGTGGACCCACTTGTAACTCATTCATTATCACAGTGATAAACTGATCAAGCATAGCTTAAAAAACGAAAATGGCCAATTATGCATATGGAGACATGTTTTTATTAGTTATATAGTAACTTTGTTACTTCAAGCTGCGTTAAATTAGATAACAATGAGATGTTTGATAACATTCTGTTTTGTCTCAGTCACTTCAGCCGATAGTTACAACTACATCAACTATTTTCGTATAAGTACCTAATACCCGACACTTAGTATCACCTCCGCTTACTCGGCAGTCCGCCGAGACGCGAATGATGATTCAAAATCAGATACTGCCAAGCAAACCCCCCGGTCAAAGTATCCAAATGTCACCTTCATTTCCTGAAATGCGATTAAGGATGGCAATGGGTACGTGTTGCATAACTTAACCAATGGTAATGTCTGATTGACACATCCACATTCATACGAACCCAACCTGGTTTTTGGAGTATGCTCTTCTTGAGTTCCAAATAAGTGACGGACGATTATTGAGGCTAATATTTTAGACAGCATATTGGCCACAGCCATTCTTGTGTTTTTTACGGGGGGATTTTAAACCCTCCCTATAAACGGACGATTATCAATAAAGATCAGGCAGATGGTAGTACATCTGACTCCCAAACTTTCCCAGTCAACTTAACTATCAAAGATAGACCACCATCCTAGTAGACCTCTGAAGTGAACTCAACAGGTACTGCTGCATTTCCTTCCTAAGAGTTGATGGAAATCTCTAGATAGGTTTCAGAGCAGCTACCAATTTAGTAGGTTTACGAAACCCATTGACCTTTCTTAACTTTCCGACTAAAACTACTAACAGATAACATGGTTTTTTAAACAGATCTATCGGTAACACTCCAAGCTTTTTCGGGATGATTTTCATGATCGGGTGAGTTCCTAGCTAATTTTCTCATGAACGCATTCTTAACTTTTCACTATTCGAAGTATGAACAGGTGGTAGGCGAGTCAAATAAACAGGGAAGATAGCAAAAGAGCATCTAAAAGATGATTACCTATCAATACCTCAAAAAGAGGACGTGATAACCACACTATTATGGTTTACAGCTGTCAAGACAACCTGAGCAGTTAAAACTTCTTAAGTAGGTAATCTATTCTCTAACTACTGGCTTTTTAATACACTAAAGGAAAAAGCTGAATTTGTACGAATCAGTAACAAATGGTTTTACAGAGTAATCTTTTGGCTAAGTTTGGCAACCACTGAGTTTTTCCCTACTGCACTTCTACTTTAAAAAACACCGTAGCCACGACAAAAAGACAGTAAATGACTAGAATGTATTCTCATAACTTAGAATTTCAATTAACTATAGAAGTTTGAACGGGAGAGAGTCGGTTTAGTAGCTGGGGTACACTACTTTAGCCTGAAAGTCACAGATTCGGAACACATATTCAGGCAGTCATGTAGTAACGCCACAAAAAAGTAGCTTAAGATTAAACACATTAGCCGATAACTAATTTAATACCTAATTGACAATCACAAAGAACAGTGGTTTGCATCACAGACTGACCTTAGACAACAATCTTTTGTCTGAGGTCAGTCTACGGTGTAAACTGCAAAATTTGATAGCTTCCGTAAACACTCTATACTAATATAGTCCAGTACAGGTACAGAGTATAAAATCAGTTCTTTTGATAGACAGATGTCTAGAAGTTGAGATGAGTGGATCAACTTTTATCGAAACACTTAGCATAAACTAGCACTTTTAGTGACTTTCTTAGTAAAGTCAGCCGTTATATTGAACCAAAAGTAGTGCACCCACTACCAAAAAATAGTTGTCAGATAAATATCTCAATCTTTATACATTAGTTGCCCTAAGAAAATCTTAGACGAATATGATGACAGTATAGTAAGCAGTGAAACTAATTTATTTAATATATATTCGAGAAACATACTCACCTCTATTAAAAACAAAATTCTGCACATCTCCATCAGATGAGGCAAAGTTTGATAAGAATGGCAATCTGAATGGATGATCCACACTTGATAACTGGATGCGAGTAGAAAAAGCATGACGACCATCCGGAACACGAGTATACACACGTTCTCGTGTCGACCTATTATTTGAACTTCTTGTCGACCGTCGCGACCTTCTAGCTAAATTCTCCCTTTCTAATGACTCATCATCTGTTGAACTAAGGTCATCCCTAGGTGCTGCAAAATAGCGAACAATATTGTCGCTAAGAGAACCTCCAAATAGCTGACCTATCATCTGCATTGCATCTAACTGTCATAAATAAAGGTTAGAATGACAGATATATACTTCTGTTTGATTCGATGATAAACCACTTCTGAAAACAATAGGAAAGGAGCAGAAAGTAAATTACCCTGGGCTGATTGCTTCAATGAAACCTGAGTGGCACGCCGAGCATGTAAAGTCCTGAACAATAATTAACGAATGTTATTTTAAAATAACCTGCAAGTTTGGGACGACCTCAGCCTCGCAAGAGTGGCAATAGTAGCTATCACCCGAACTGCCAGTTGCCATTACTTTGGCGCAACTTAAATACTGCGCGGTCGGACTTTTTCAGTCTTCTCAAACTCACTGCAACAATCAAGAATAACGATAACTTACCAGTATCTACTACACATATTAGGAGTTTCATGCATGATCTGGCTTTAACTTCACCAAAATCCAGTCAAGAACGAAATCAATCTCCGTATTTAGTAGCTTAGGTTATTATAACTCGTCGATAGTATTTCATACCAATATGCTGATGTCTATGTAACGGCAAATAAATCCCCAAAATCGATAGCTCTGCAAGTCTTCGACCATATTAGTTTTAATGGACTCACCTAACTGAAGGCGCTCAGACATATATCCGCTCCAGATCACGAGTGGGGACGCCGTGCTCAACTTCTCCTGCAACAGTCCAGACCAGTTGTTTCTCTATATATTGATAGTCTACCAGACATATCTTTGAACTTCCTCGCTTCTGACTTTTGATCTCACTGAGTGGGGACGATTCATTTATCGGTGTTACTGGATGAAGTGTTGTCAAACTAAAAATACCTATGGCGTCCTCATTTGCTTCTGCTTTTTTGTTTAACCATATCCAAACTTAGAGGACTCGGTGATCCACTGCTTCTAGACACAGAAGGTCGTTATTAGAGGGTGTCTTCTATTCCATCTGAAACTATTCGAACCAATAGATCACTCTGAACATTAAGCCATTTCCACCGATCATAAATTCGTACTGTAGTAAAGTTCCCAACAGTGTTCATGTTACCTATTTCTGTTAATCATTCTTAAAAACAAACATATATGTAGTCACTCAACATTTACAGCGACCTTGTTAGTTTTAAATGGTACTGCTAGATGAAGATACCTGACGCTGTATGTCTCTATTTTCTCACAGTGACGATGTCCACTTCCTGCCTCTCTTCAATTTAAATGAGCAAAATCAATGAACTGTTTGTCCCACGCTATTCTGGTCTGGAACGTAGAAGAGGGGTTATAAATATTAAGAAACATAATTCTTGTTATTTTCCTTTCCAACACGAAGAGGTAAAACACCGGTTGATATACAGAAAAGGTGATGAGGTAGGACCACCTATCGTCGTCCATTTCAGTATATAAAGAATTAAAGTAATCTTTAAGCCTTCTTTAAGGAGATTCACTAGAACTGTCATTATTGTCCTTTCTCGTAAGTTGTTTCGGCACTTAGCAGTTAAAACCGTGAAAACGCTTGCATAAATTTTTATTTAAGCTCTCCGTATTAGCATAAATTGATATCCTTATAGGTGCAGTTAACTGCTGAAACGCATAAGTGATATACTGGGGTAAAGTTTAAGGCCAATGTGATTCACCACTGTGAGATCTTACCCTCCAACTAATCTTTTGTGCTCATGTTGCACAATTAAAGCCTTCATTCATGCTTTTTTCAGAGCACTTTCAAGGGGATGAGATGTTTCTTCATGTAAGGGTCCATAATATTGGGGTTTATTAACTAAATCTTAAGTAAACACTAGAAACGACTTTAAATAGTTCTGGAAGAAATTTTAAGACAAAGTGCTTTTTAAGCAGCGGAATAACCATGAGCGGATGTTCCTTAAGCATCACGTAAGCTACCGCTCTGGTGATTTTCTGGAGTTAAGGTGTACAATACTAGAGACACTTAGAAAGTACGAGGTTGGTATGATACTAATGTTTATCATAGGGAGAGCAAAGGATCCCAAGTTTAGGTCCACATATGGATTAAGACAAGAGACGGCATGAGCTTGAAGACGCACACTCATTTCATGTGTAACTAGGTTGCAAAGACTACATTCTATCCATAACTGATTTAAGTTACTAATCATATAAACGTTTTTCAGTGCGATTAGTACAACATAAATAAAAATATTACGAGAAAGTGACATTACGACTCTTTTGCTTCAGTCGCTAGAGATGTCATTTTCTTTAGCCCAACTGATCATACCAACACATTTGGGTGACTATAGAATAATAAAAACTTTAAGATAGTGGAGAGGATTTTTAGCTCCACCTAAATAACAACTTCATTTGCGATTTTTCCACTATCTCGGCTGGAATATTTCAAAAATAATATGTAGTACGTATGATTTTCTTATGGATTCGTCAAAGGCTGAAATTCCTGCTGTACTGTGTACTGTACTCACTCCGTGTTTCGAGGGCGTTTTTCAGGAAGGCGCGTTAGGTTTGCAAAGTGGTCGAAGTACTTCATGCAGGAAAGCGATCCCAAATGGTTGGAGAAGCCATTGAAACTCAGGCGATCTGATATATAAGCTTTGCTCTCAACAATCGAGAAGATCAGTCGGGTTCTCTAGTCGTCCTTATCTGCAAAGATCGCACACAACGGTGTATCTCGGTCCAAAACTACTGTTACTACTGTATGGGAGAGTCGGAAAGCTCTCAAATAAAGTTGGTAATATTTGATAACACAAATTTTCCATGATAAAATGATAACAGTTGTTATGAACTGAATGTTACTTGAGATACGATTTATACTGTTACTATAATTTGTTACATTTTGCTTTACTCATAGAAAGGCATTTAGGTTTGTAGTGTTAGCGCTTTTTTGGTATATTATTGGTAGAGTTTGCACATTGTTAAATCGTGAATAAGCTCTTTTGCTGGGGTCCACCACAAATCTGGTGAGCCTGCACATTCATTTTTCGAAATTGTAATTTCGAGTTCACTCACAAACAGTACGGCGTTAATTTTCCTCTTGGTAGTGATTATTTTTTGTATATTTGTAATGTATTTATCTGAATCTGAAGGCATTAACCAGGATACCGTTTCAACAGAGTTCTACGCTCTAAACTTGATAAATGTACCTCCAATCAGTAGAAAAAACACACATATTTGGTTTGCACAGTTGGAAGTACAATTTCATCATCGTAACATACATTCACAGGCATCAAAATACTCTTTTGTGCTTCGAATCATGCCGAGTGAAGTAGCACTTGAGGTATCGGATCTTACAGTTAGTGGCCCTGCATCTAATGCCTATAATCAATTGAAACAGGCTATTATTCAACATACCTTCGTAAATGATGAAAAGAAGTAGCAACAATTGCTGCACGAGTGCAAGTTAGGTGAAAAATCACCCTTCCAACTATTACGTCAGATGAAGCAGTTTGTTAAGCTTTATAAGGTTACTGATGGTTTTCTGAAAGAAATTTGGCTGCAACGTTTACCAACGGTAGTCAGGCAAATTCTCTGTAATTCTAGCAAACCTTTGGATTAAGAGAGTCTAGCCAGCATGGCTGACAATATTTTAGAAGTAACGCCTGGCACACCTTACGTGTAGATGATATCAGAAACTTTGAGTGACACGCAAACCCAGACCATAGTATCGTTAACAGCTGAATAAAGTGACCTACGTACACACCACGCAGGTACTGTTTCTGGTTTTGAAAACAAACTAAATGCATCACGATCATTAAGTCCCAACCTCATGTCTCGAAGGTCTCGCTCCTGTTCCCGAGGGAGTGAGAACCCGGTCACCACAAGAACAAACAAATATGACGACCACATTTGCTGGTACCTTAGATAGTATGGCGACGTAGCTAAGAAGTATGTTACGTTCTGAAAATTTTGGGAGTAATCTTCTTTGCCAAAACGTATCACCAGACAGTAGTAACGACAAATGTTACTGGAAATGCCCCTAGTCTCATCTTTCACGTCCTTGACAAGAGTTCCGGCTACAAATTCTTAGTAGACACTGGAGCCGAAGTCAGTGTTATTCCAGTTACCTTAGTCAAGAGACCTATTGTTAAAAGTGGGAAATACTCCTCACGAGCGACCAATAAAACTGAGATAATGACATTTAGAGAACAACTCCTGACACTAGACTTAAGAATTAGACGTCGTCTAACCTGGTTGTTATCGCCGATGTCCGTTACCCACATCAGGTGCAGACTTCCTAAGCTTCTATAACTTATTAGTTGATGATAAAAAAGAAAACTTATCGACTCTTGCACAGAACTTCAAGTTCTGGAAATTCAGGCGAACTGTCACATATGTGGTACTAAAATCAACACCCCATTAAACGACATATTCGCTAATATTTTATCTAAATTTTCCAAGATAACGAAATCAGACTACATGGAAAACATGATCCAACATTCCGTAGTACGTTGAATCACCACAATAAGCCAACCAGTTTCGGCACGTCCACATCGATCACCTCTGGACAAGCTTAATGTTGTTAAAGCCGAATTTTAGCACATGATGCAACTTGGAATAATACGTCCGTCAAGTAGCCCCTGGGCATCCTCACTTCACACGCTACCTAAGCCAGACCGGGATTGCTAACCTTGCTGCGATTATCGGTCATCGAATAACCTGCCGTTACCTGATCGTTACTCCATTTGAACGATTTTCCGCTTACGTTACGTGAAAAACGTTTTGCTAAACTCGATCTTTTGTGAGCGTATCGTCAGACTCCAGTAGCATCCGAGGATATAGCATAACAGCCATCATTACTCCTTTTGATTTATTTGAATTTCTGAGAATATAATTTGGGTTAAAGAACGCTGCACAGACATTTCAACGATTTACGGATGAGGTTACTAAAGTCCTAGGCTTTGTTTGTGTAGATATTGACGATGTATTAATAGCTAGAAGTTCTTACCACAAACATACTAATCATCTACATCAACTATTCGAGGGAGTTCAGAGATTTGGTATAGATTTTAATCCATCTAAATGCATTTTTGGAATCGACAGTTTGGAATTTTTAGGTCAATCGA